TTGGGTGTTAATGACTACAATTGAACCTGGAATTTCATTTGTAAGTTGTTGCAATCATTAAGTGGGTCATCAATAGACCGGACTTGATTTTAGCAATAGCAATAGCAGTTAGACTTATATACCGCTTCATAGGGCTTTCAGCCCTCTCTAAGCGGTTTACAGAGTCAGCATATTGCCCCCANAGAGAGGGTTAAACCGGCTCCGCCCAAGAACCAATCAGAAAGGGAGACCTTACTTCCCGCGCTAGTATTCAACACTCCATATTTCATATGTACAAAGGAATGGGGCTTACATCAAGATGCCACACCTGTCATCTTGCAGATTTTGATCTTTTTTTAAGACTTCACTGTTGTCTGCTTAACATTCTATCAAGGTGTTATCTAGGTTCATGTCTAATAAGCATTAAAATGTAGTGTTCCTTTTGAAGCTGGTAAAGGGCATGATTTGTTCCTTTTTTTGTATTTTATGAATGTATGAAATAATTTTAATTTAAACTGCCATACATTAACATTAAGATGTTATTGTTATTTATAGTAGCTTTGCCAGTTTGTTTTAATGCTGTACTACAAAACTGTTACTGTTGCTTTTGATAAGATAAAATTAGTCAAGAGAAAGTCCATTAAAATTAATAGGATAAATAATAAAGTTAAATATCTTTAATTTCAGTATGATTTACATATGATTAATTTACTGAAAGCTACTCACAAATTCTAGAAGTGGCTACATCCAGTAAGTATATTTAGCTATGCTCTAATGAGGTGCTGTTCATGACTTATTATACATATTATATAATATTATTAAACTATTCCCATTTTGGTGATCTTCAGATAGTAAACTTACTGGTAATTATACCAATGTCATTACAAGATCCCTAGATTCCACTCTTTAGAGTTTTTAATTTGGACTGGCATTACATAGTCTGTCATGAAAACTTTCAAATCAAAAAAATATTATCTGTTAATGTACCATGTGTTCAGTTTATTCAACAACTAGGCGTTGCTGGTAGTTCTTTAAGTGCTGGTGCTGCTCCACTGCTATTCACTACTTCCAGAAATATCAAGACTTATCTGGGTATTCTCTCCACAGTCCTGCTCTGTTTTAGCCATTAGTCAGAGTTTAATGCCAGAAAGGAACTAGTACAGGCCTGTCAAATTGGTGGCCCATGCGCCAGATGTATCATGTGCAGGGTCCACAAAGGCAAACAATGTGATGAGATTGAGTTTGACACCTGTGAACTAGTATCTCCTGAATCTGGAATCAAAGATCGGCATATATTCAGCCAAAGTACTATGTCCAAGATCAAAATAATGAATTAAAAAGAGACCCATTAGACTTCACTCATACTCAGAAATGGATTATAGGCCCTTGGTTCTGTGAAAAAATGATTTTTCCCTCTGTAGGAACCAAATTTTCTGTCAAATATTCAGCTCAGATAAACATTTTCCCCCTAAACTTGGAACAATTGGAACAAGAGGCAAAAAGAAAGTTCAAATCATTGTTTACTTGGAAAGAATCCAGCTCTGCTAAGATTCTAGCCCTCCTGCCAAAATGGTGGGAGGATATTGAAATCAAATTTCCTCAGTAACTACATATTTATTATGAAATAGTTTGACTGCAACTATCATGAGGGACTCTGTTTTCTTTTATAAAAAATATACACTAGTAATTTTATTAAACATTACAATTACAATAGTAAAAATTAATACAAACTGTAAAATGATATGAAAAGAAGACATGCAGAAAAGAAAAAAATGAGAATAGAGAAATAGAAAAAATAAGGAGTGTACACACACACACACACACACACACACACACACCACGGCTGCAGATATGCTTGTCTTGTTGTATTTGGGTCTTTTCCCATGTAAGATTGTCTTGGCAACGTTTCAGTAAGGTCTCACTTGCCATCTTAAGCCTGGGTTTTGGGCTTTAAGC